CCTCATCAACAGTGAATGGGTGCTGACAGCAGCTCACCGTTTACCTGGGTAAGATTCACATCAATATTCAAATATTCATCCAAACCACAGGCTCTGAGGCTGTTTTTACACTATTGATTAATTATTTTCTTCACTTTCACCTGTTTTCAGTATCAGCGCATCCAGTCTGCTTGTGTACCTGGGAAAGAGAATACAGCAGGGAGTCAATACCTATATGAAATCAGTAGAAATGTCTCCTCAGTCATCGTTCACCTCTCCTACAACAGTCAAAGCAGCGACAATGACATCGCTCTGCTCCGCCTGTCCTCCGCTGTCACCTTTAATGAATATATTAGACCCGTGTGTCTGGCGGGCCTGAACAGCAGCTTCCCTTCTGGAACCAGCAGCTGGGTCACAGGCTGGGGAAATATTCAGTCTGGGGGTACAAACGTGTATAAACTCATTCATTCACTTGTAAATCTCCTTCTAACATCACTAATTGATGATTGTGTGTGTTTTTGGTGTTCAGTGAGCCTACCTTCTCCTGGGATTCTGCAGGAGACTTGCCTGCATTCTCCACCAGTGTAACGGGGTGAAGAATCACACGACAAGTAATCTCAATTAATACCCCGGAGGGTGGATTTATTGGGGTGCTCTGTGCTCGTGGGGGAAAGTCCAGGTCGGTGCTCCGGTGCCGTGAGTGCTCCCTTCCGTCTTCCCAGTGCAGCGGGTCCGTGCAGTGCTCCAGTGGGGCTGGTCGGTCACGTGCTGCTCTCTGTGGGCAAAAGGAGAGGGCGAGTTAGTACTCTCACTCATGGAGGCTTCTCCCTTATGGCAGGGCTTCGGTGGCTTATGTAGCCGCCGCCTGATGAGGTGCAGCCGTGGCCGATCAGCCCGTGATGATGCTGGCCAGGTGCTCCTCGCTTGTTTCCAGGGCGACGCTGATGAGGCTCCGGGACGCTCGTCACAATATATATAGTAGATTTCAATAATATGCTGTGTAAAATATTATGTAAGATATAATGTTTAAATTAGTGTTTTTTTTATATATATTGATATAGGTGATGTGATTTATTATAATGATATAATCTTTAATGTTATTATAATTACCTGGATAAACACATCCTCATTAGAGTGACTAATTATTCTCAGCAAGATTAATAAAATGAAAAAAAAAACTTGCATTTAAGATGTTAAGAAGTAAATTTAGTGTAAATTTATGTTTAACAGATCTGCATTATGAAAACAGGGCGAGGAGCAAAAATAATAATAAAAATGGATTAGTGCGACATTAAAGTGATTAGATGAATGACGAGCAGAGACTGGAGAAGTGAATATATAAAGGGTTTGTGAGAGCAAAGAGATCCAAATCCACCATCTCCATCCATTCTGTAAGAGAAGAGGCGGTTTGTGAAAATGTGGAGGTTAACGTGTGTCAGTTTGGCCCTGCTCTTATGTGTTCAAGGTAAGGACTTTTACTTGCTTAAGGTAGAAACTTCATCAGCACTACATGTTTCTGCCACAGCTCTGGTTCATGTGGGATAATTTCGTTAAGTTAATTAGTTAGAGGATGTCACACATAGCTGGATGTCCATGAAATCCTTCCTGTTTAATGTGTGCTGTTATGTCTCTTCCACTGCAGGTTCACTTTCTCAGCTGAATGGTAAGAGCTTGTTTCATTCTTCATATGTTCGTATGAATCACCGTTTTACAGAATTGCACATGTGAGCAATCTCTCTATTTCTCTCATAGTTTGTGGACAAGCCCCTCTAAACACCCGTATTGTGGGTGGTGTGGATGCCTCTGAGGGTTCGTGGCCGTGGCAGGTCAGTCTGCACAGCTCCAACTTTGGAGGTCATTTTTGCGGAGGCTCCCTCATCAACAGTGAATGGGTGTTGACGGCAGCTCACTGTTTACCTGAGTAAGATTCACCTAAACACACATATGCACTTGTTTTGTTTTGATTGGTAGAATGTACCTTTTTCTTTTCTCACTTTCTCTGACTGTATTTAGTGTCAGCGCATCCAAATTAATCTTGAAGTTGTCAATGACCAATCAATGACCATCATTTTTTAGGCATTTAATAATCTCAGAAAGCAAGAAAAACAACACACAATAACTGATCATCATTTTTTCAACACCATGACATGAATCTCTCTCTCTCTCTCTCTCTCTCTCTCTCTATCTATCTATCTATCTACTGCATCTCCCTCTCGCTCTCTCTCTCTCTCCAGCGCATCCAGTCTGCGTGTGTATTTGGGAAGGAGGACACAGCAGGGAGTCAATGCCAATGAGATCAGCAGAAATGTCACTACGATCATTGTCCACACCTCCTACGACAGGAACACAAATAACAATGACATCGCTCTGCTCCGGCTGTCCTCCGCAGTCACCTTCAATAACTACATTAGACCCGTGTGTCTGGCGGCCCAGAACAGCGTCTTCCCTTCTGGCACCAGCAGCTGGATCACAGGCTGGGGAGATGTTCAATCTGGAGGTACAAACACATGCAAACCCATTAATTCATATATGAATTTACCCCTAACATCACTAATTAATGGTTGTGTTTTTGGTGTTCAGTGAGCCTACCTGATCCCAGGACTCTGCAGGAGACTATAGTTCCAGTGGTGGACAATGTTCAATGTAATACTCTGCTGGGTTCTGGATCTGTTACCAGCAACATGATGTGTGCTGGTTTAATGGAGGGAGGCAAAGACACCTGCCAGGTACAACAACCAACCAGATTAAGCATGCATATCAAAACATGCTGCATATCTGAAAGTCCACTGGGTTCTTTTAATACTGTATATATTTACATACAAACATCTATGCTGCATTTTTATATATGTATGTGATTCTCCATTTACATTCTGGCCATGTTTGATGTCCCAAAAAACAAAAACTTCTACTCTTTTTCTTTCTGTAGGGGGATTCTGGTGGTCCAATGGTGAGCAAGCAGTGTTCAGTGTGGGTTCAGTCTGGTATCACCAGCTGGGGTTATGGCTGTGCTGATCCCAACGCACCTGGTGTTTACACCCGTGTGTCACAGTATCAGAGCTGGATCACCAACAACATTGGGCAGAACTTGCCAGGTTTTGTCACCTTCAGCCCTACAAGCACATGCCAGTCTGTTTCACCCACTTCTACAACCTCCCCAACTACTACTAAAACTACTACCACCCCAAAAACTTCTACTACCTTAAGAACAGCAACAACGACTCTTTCACCCAAGCAGGGTAACTCTTTCTCATACTTTACTGTACACACCTGTACAAACATCCTGAAACGGCTAGTCCACCCAAAAATTAAAACTCTGTCATCACTTACTCCCTCTTCATGTCATTCCAAACCTGAAGGCATTTATTTTTTCTGTAAGAAAAGATGTTTAGAAGAATGCTGTTATCTAAATATTTTCTGTTACCATTGACTTCCATTGTATTTTTTTTGTCCATACACTGAAAGTCAGTGGCAACTGATATTTCAGAATATCAAAAAAATATCAAAAACACTACTTACTTCTCTGCATAATGCTTAATTGCTTAATGCTTAATGCAAAACGATTTTTTGTTGTAGCCTCAAACTCTTGTCAAGGGAGATGTGGTGAGAGATCTGACTTCCGCAACCGCTGCAACTGTAATCATCGCTGCCTCATAAACTGCTGCTGGGATTATAAAAAGCTATGCAGTAAGTCCAAATACACACACAAACAAGTGTTCATTGTTCTTTTCTCAAATTCTGATTTTTTTTTTTTAGTCTAGGAAGTCTTCAGCTCTGTTTGTTTTTGTGTCTCTGCAGGGTTTTAGTGGATAACTCCTGGTTGGCAGTCTTCTAAATGGCTCACCTGCACTTTATCTTTTTAATTTGTTTAAGCATTCTGTGCAACAAATTCATGCATCAAGTACAGGTTATACTACAAAATATTTATTTAAATCAGCAAAGAACCCATTTTAAATTAATTTCTTCAAAATATATGTGTAATGAAAGTCTTATTTTTTCCCTTTTCAGACTAATGATTTATTTATTGTGTTTGTGTGTCAAAATTGTACCTAAATAATTCACAATTCATTTTATAGAACATACAAATTCATACAAGCAGATTATATAATATCAGCATAATTTGCTAATATAATTTGGGTCTTGTTTGTAATCTGTATTATATAAATGACTAAATAAATACTTTGCATCATCTGGCTTGCAACTTCTTTTCTGTTATAAATCACACCAACGGGGGTGAATGAAAAGTGTTTGTAGTGTCATGGCACAAACCACATGCCTTTGTATCACTACGACAAGGATGTACAAAAAGTTAGTCTAAACCATCTAAGCCATCTAAAAAGTATATATAATTTTAAAAATAATATGATCAGACTTATGTATTTGTATGTGTAGAATTGATATGTAGAATAGCAAGTTGCAGTACCATCCGAGAGAGCCACATTGAGAGAAAACCAACCCATATTTTCCCTCACCAATTATGAGGAGGTCATCCTGGCCTCTCAAAGATGTATCCACTGTGTAAAAAAAAATGTATCTGGGGTAGAGCTACCGAGTCGGAGACAAGCAAAGAGAAAGATTTTTAGCACAGCACTAGCAACGCTAAGGTCATGGAAATGCGTGAACTGTTAAAATGCATACTTTCAATGTAATGCAAGTCGCTTTGGATTTTTTGGTAATGTCCTCAAGGGAGCCGAAAAAGGCCCATTTCCAACAAGCAGTACAAGGGGCCCAGAAAATGACAGAATTTGCCTACCTACCTCTCGCTTGTATATTTTTTTATTACAGAAGACATGCATAAACCATAAATAAAGTAGTTTCCAGTCAAATAAAAAGCTGTCATGATAACATTACTAAGATAAACAGAAAAGTAAGTTAAATAAGCCTGTATAAAATATTTATGCCATTATCTCTAGGATTTTTTTTTTTTTTCCCCCAAGTTTGGTTGTTGCCTTCTGTTTCCAGAAATGATTACTGTCAGGTTTCACATCCTCACAAAGTGCAACTTCTAAAACATGTTCTCATGCGCTTGTGATGCCAGCCTGCCCCCGTGACAAATCCCTGACGCCTTCATCCGGGACTCTGCCATCAGAACACTCTCCAACATGGCGGCGTCAGGTGAGAATAATGCGCTCTCGTGCTCGGCCTTCATTTGTGGGCTTCTTTGCGAAACACCTCTAAATAAGTTTGTAAAACCCTCTTGGTTTCAAACGTAATGGTTATAGCATTCACTGTGTGCGTTTTTCAAAAACGGCACTGCTAAATATACTGAGAAAATATTCTGAAACCATGAAGGATTAGTTGTATTGGGGAAGCCTTATGCGCAAATGAATTAGCCAGTTTGCTAGCGGCCAAATCAAGTGCCTCGCCCGTCTTGTTATCTTCTGGAGTTTTAGAACGGAAAGATTTCGCACACGGATGTTCGGGTGTTTTAATATACGCGGAAGTTTATAAGGTTAATTCACGGAAAGTTGTGATATTATGGTAAATTATAGCGCCTGAAGTTCAGAACGGTGCTAATAACCCGTGCTTGGCGCGCATGCGCAGTACGATCCAGAGGAGGGACCGGAGAGGTGACCACGTGCGTGGAGCCGTGGACATAGAGCTGAAATAGACTTTCTCTCGTCGTTTTTGACAGAACAGCGGTTGGGTTGGTGATTTAGATTTATTTTAGTGACTTGTTTTTTTTAATGTGTATTATGTGATCACCAAAAAGATTTGTTCACGGATTCATTCAGTACAGTTACGTGTTTTTTTTTTTTGTGTCGAGTCATTGAATCAATTTCTAATTCATTCGATTAAAATAGAGTCATTCATGACTAAAACATCTCGTATTATCTTATACTAAAACTTATGTTTTTTAAACACACTTCAGAAAGAGAGTTTAATTGTCCCAAAAAATAATACCTCAGTAAGTTAACGAGTGTTTCAAAGGCTTGTATAACCAGCCAGATGTACAGAACGTATGTAAGTACAGCTCTTATGTTTTTGAGTGGGGAAAGACTGAATTATCTGAAACAGTTTGTTAATGTTACATCTGAATGACGTTTAAAATCAGTAGTACCATTTAAATTGTGCTTCTGAGCTTTTTCAGGCTGGTCCAGTTAAAGCATATAACCTTACAAGTTCTAGAGGAAAACAAACATAATGTGAATGTGCCTTATGTCATCCTTTTTTCCACATTGCATAGTGTTGGAAAGGCATCTTTTGCACAAGGTGTGACATTGCTCACTGGTGTGAAAGCTATTAGTGTATATTCTGGGTTTCATGCAATTTAATGAAGGGTGCGAAGAGGTTTTACCTGGAAATCCTCTACAAGTGTAGTGACATTTCACTTCTAAAGCAAGCAGATATTAGTGAATAAACAAATAATGTTATAATGTCTTTTGAATAAGCCTATCTTTTTTTGTTGTTGTTGTTGAATAGTCATGCTTTGTCTGTTATCTGTGCCACTATGTGTCCCAGCTAGGGTGGGAACGTTAAAATGTTTTTCTTATTCTGAATGTTAATGGTGGCATGAAATGAAAATTCACCCTATCAGTTTTCCAAATGCATGTTATTAATCTTACTTTAAATATTTCATCTGTGCATATGTTTCTTTGTTTTGACCTCATAATTCTTAATCAAAATGTCATAAATCTGACCTGTTCTTTTGGTGTAATGACAGATTTCTCTCTGGTGATGAATTTTCCAGTCATTTTGTTCATTTAAAGGATTAATTTTGCCATCATTTACTCACCCTCAAGTTGTTATAAACCTATATGAGTTTCTTTGTTCTGTTGAACACCAAAAAAAATGTTTTGATGAATGTTGGTAACCAAGCACTTGATGGTAGCCATTGACTTCTATAGTATTTTTTTTCCATACTATGGAAGTCAATGGCTACCGTCATCTGTTTGGTTCAACATATTTATCAAATAATGAAATACTTCAGTTATGGCATTCTCATAGCATCTGTTTTTCGTTCTTTAGCTAAGAAGAAGAATAAGAAGGGGAAGACCCTGACCCTGAATGACTTCCTTGCGAATGATGGCAGTGGTAGCGTACCCACCAGTTACCCCAGCACAAAGGCCACCAGCTGGGCAGACGAGACCGATGACTTGGATGGTGATGGTGAGTGAAGGCTGGAACGCATTATGGATGTCTTCATTTCTTTATTTTCAAACGTTAAATCATCAGACTTTTATTTTGATGGAAAAATCTCCTGAAACTTCTCCTTTTTGACAAGTGCTTCTCATTACAAGTAAGGGAAGATTGTTGGTGCATGTTGCATTCCTAAATGCATATTAAAGTGCCTCAAATTCAGATGCAGAGATGGAGTTTGTGTGGAGCAGCACTTACTGCAATTAATTATGCAGCCCTAATGTGAAGCTAAAAAATGTAGTTTGTACCAGTCATAGACTACGCAATTTTCTGTGAAATCTTGTAAACTCCAACTGGCTAAAATCTGCAGGCTCTGACTTTTGACAACTAGTGCTGACTCCTCCAGACTGTAAAGCGGGGCAAAAATATTGTCAAAATTCAAGTCTTAAGAAGGCAAAATGCTACCGTTGGTCTGATGCATTTTAGGATCCAGGCATTGAAATCATATTCTGTGGTGGGCAAGTTCTATTCTCCTTCTCTTTAGTCTCAACTTCCTGGCATACTGTGGAGGATACGTATCGAGCTCCTCCCATCGATCGCTCCATCCTGCCAACTGCGCCTCGTGCAGCACGGGAACCAAACATTGACCGCTCTCGGCTGCCACGCAGTCCACCCTACACCGCCTTCCTTGGTAACCTTCCTTACGACGTCAGCGAGGAATCCATCAAAGAGTTCTTCAGGGGCCTTGCGGTCAGTGGGGATCTGCATGTTTAGAAACAGGATGTCTAGATAATACACTTACATTCTGAGTCTTTCGTAGCAGGGAATACTACTCTTAGCTGCTTGACAAATGCAGGTTGTGTATAACTGGATGTGTTTTGTGTATATTCTCAGATCAGTGCAGTACGTTTGCCACGGGAGCCTAATAACCCAGAGAGGCTTAAGGGTTTTGGTTATGCAGAATTTGATGATGTTGAATCATTCTTTCGTGCTCTCAGTCTAAATGAAGAGGTGGGCAGTCAGTAAAATACTGACCTCAGAGCATTGCCTTTGTTTTCTATTTTGAGTTAACATTGCATTAAATTTGTGTAGAATCTTGGGAACAGGCGGATCCGGGTGGATATTGCAGATCAATCCAATGACAAAGGTGAACTGATGATATACATGATTTCTTTGCCTCTTGACTAAATTTATAATTTTATATATTTAATTTAATTATTATAATTAATATTTTCTTATATTTCTTCCAGAGAGAGATAGTGGGTCAATGATGGGGCGAGACAGGGATAGAGGTCGTGGGATGGACAGTGGCCCTGATAAGACAGATTCTGATTGGAGGGCACGGCCAAGCGGGGACCTGGATGATGGACCACGCAGAGACGATGGATATGGGGACAGTAAGTTAAACAGATGCAAACTCTGTATAATGCTTAAACCAGTGTTAATTTTGAATTTAAAGGGGGGGGGTCTAATGCTATTTCATGCATGTTGAGTTATTTACACTGTTGGATTCTCATGCTAAACATGGCCAACGTTTCAAAAAACGATATGAATGTAGAACGGAGTATTTCTGTGTCAAATATACTCCTTCCGGTTTTGTACAAGTTTCGGAGAGTTTTTTTTCTGAGCTTGGCTCTTCGTGACATAATGGCGCGTCCGCGCACGCACGTTGATCAGAGCGAGAGCAAGAGCGCGCCCATCAACGCGCTTCATTCAGCTGCACTGAACGGGACTCGCTCGAGAAGAATGTCTCCAAAGAAGCGTGTTTTTGGCTGTAAGGGAAAGATAACCTTGTTCAGCTTACCAAAGAACTCAGCGTTACGTGAACAGTGGATGCAGTTTGTTTTTCCGGGGCAGCAACAAAGTTTTGCAAGTGTGTTTGTTGACGAACGTAGTTCATTTTTAGCGAGGCTATAGCGATTAGCTCCATAAACTACACAAATTCGTGATCGCCTCAGAGTCAGTCTACTTTAAATTTCATATGAAATCGGCGGCAGACTTCGTCTCCTCCCCGTCTTTCAGCGCGCTCTTCAATCCGCAGACCGTGGTGGCGCAGCGCGAGCGGACTCAGAAACAGAGGACACAAGGTGTGTGTTTATCGATAGATTGTTATAATATCTGTATCTGTGCAGTTCTTTGTCATAAATACAGTTTACAAAAGGTCACGAGGGAGCAATCGGTTTCCCATCTACTGTATCGCTGCGTTCACCGCTCCTCACACCCCAGCTGTTTCCTCCAGCGAAAATCTAGCCCTTAACACATATGAATATTTAATATAAAAATATTACAGTGCATGTGGCATACGATACAGTCACAGAACTGATTAAAGACAGTGACGGACAGCACTCAGTCAATTCACTCATTTTAACTAAATATCAGAGTGATTGACAGAGATACAGTAGAAACATTGTGTGGTTTTGCATTAAATATTTTTTTGTATTAAATAATGACCCAGATCGTGAAATACATTTATTAGTCTTGGAGTAAGATTTTTTTTTTTTAAGTATCGGTTCAGGCACCGTTTAAGCACCAGTACCGTTTTAAAAGTATCGATTTGGCACCGGTATCGTAAAAAACCCATTCGATACCCAACCCTACCAGTCAAAATGTCTGTGTTTTGTTGGTAATCGGGCAAGTGCTCGTCACTCTTTAGCTCCGGCGCACCTCCAGGAGCTCTGCTGTTTTTGGAGAGAATCGGAAAGCTGTATATTTCTTTTATAAATACGATAAAACTAAAGACTCTTTGGAGCTATGAACGATGCTATACTACTCTATAGGTACTCAAGATCAACATGAGATTGGGTGAAACTGTGTGTGTTATGCCCCCTTTAACTTTAGTCATAGTCTTTTGACAAGATTAAAGGGATATATTACCAAAAAATGAAAATTACCCCATGATTTACTCACCCTCAAGCCATCCTAGGTGTACATAACAACTTTCAGACAAATACAATCGGAGTTATATTCAAATATGTCCAGGCTCTTCCAAGCTTTATAATGGCAGTGAATGGGGGTCGAGATTTTGAAGCCCAAAAAAGTGCGTCCATCCATCATAAAAAGTACTTCACATCAGAGGTGGGGGACTCGAGTCACATGACTTGACTCGAGTCAGACTTAAAGGGTTAGTTCACCCAAAAATAAAAATTAGGCTCCGATCTGTTGTACACGGAAGCAGCTCCGGGCTGATGACATATGAGGTCAGCGCTGCGCATGCGCTGATGAGTCTCGTGAAAACCAACGTTTGTTTACAGGATCAAAGGAAGCAAAGTTTCTTTACTTTAGCAAAGGAAAACCAGTCTCCTCCTGGCTTATAACGAAATTCTCTGACATTCTTCTTTACAAATCCTCGTTTTGCAATTCTAATTCTTGACCGTTGTTTTGTTTTGATCTCTCTGCTGCGCTGCTGTGCCACTTCTGAGTGGCGCATGCGCAAAGCTGACCTCATACGTCATCCTTCCTGAAGCTGCTTCCGTTTACAACAGTGAGCGCAAGCTAGATTCAAGAGAAAGTCATATACACCTAGGATGCCTCGTGGGTGAGTAAAACGCAGCCTAATTTTTATTTTTGGGTGAACTAACCCTTTAAGTCGCAAATTTTAGGACTTGAGACTTGCTTGACAAATATTCATAAAAGACTTGACTTGACTTTGACTTGATATTCATGACTTGAGACTTGACTCGGACTTGAGTTAAATGACTCGAAATAACTTGTCTTTCGTTCAATAAATGTTTGTTTTTGAACGCACCACAACCTAACCACGTGATGCAGCAGGCAAGCAGAGAGAGCCTAACATAAGAGCGTGGACAGTGTTGCCAACTTAGGGACTTTGTCGCTAGATTTAGCGACTTTTCAGACCCCTTTAGCGACTTTTTTCCAAAAAAGCACCTAGTAACAAATCTAGCGACTTCTTGGACAAACCTTATTTAGTTTCTGAGACTCGCTGGTACTGCTGCACGAGCGCAAGGTTTTGTTTTCCCAGCGCGCACACACCTCTCTCTGCGTCTGCGCTGTTCAGCGAGAGGCTGAGAGAAGCAGCGCTTTCAGTTAAAAAAGATATTCTGTCACTTCAAACTCTATTTTACACGCAAATATAGCTGAAATCACAGCACAGCCATTGACTTTATCTTATGTGTATTTGATTTCATTAGATGACATTGTGATTATGAATCAGGATTTTTGTGCAGATTAACATCTAAGGGGCGAGCTGGTTATGCAGTCTTAATGGGCCGCGTTTCAGTCTCTATTTCATGTTCATCACGTTGTTTTACAACAGAAACAGAAAAATATACCAGTGAAAACCGTTTTATTGAGAATTTGACTGCATTAAAATACAGTTTGTGAACACTATCAAATTTAATTTTTTGCAAGTGCAATGCATTGTAAATGGTTATTTACCCTTTATAATGTCAGCTTTTTTTTTTTTTAGGCAATAGCACTTAGTATATGCATGTGTACAGTGTCTAATAATTGGTCTTCAGTGTTAATCTGAGTGAAAAGCTTATGGATAGTTAATGGGGATGCACATAAATATATTGTATACGCATACACACACACACAGAAAGATAAAATCATACAGACTTGTGAACCCAACCATGCATACACAAACAAACAAAACAACAACAAAAAAACTTGCAAGCACAACCATGCACATGCAAACCATACACGCGCACACATTCATTCACAAATATTAAAGGGGTCATATGATGCAATTTCATTTTTTCCTTTCTCTTTGGAGTGTTACAAGCTCTTGGTGCATAAAGAAGATCTGTAAATTTGCAAAGACTAAAGTCTCAAATCCAAAGAAATATTCTTTATAAAAGTTAAGAGTCAGCC